ATGAGGACAGATCCCTAGGATCTCCTTTGGGCAGCTCTTATTTCCTGACACAGGGTTTGGGTGGGGTCAACACCACCCTTGGAACCACAGACTGCTGAGGCCCATTGGTCTATCCTATCCCTCGGGCCTGCTTCGGGAGCAAACCTGAAGCTCATTTCCAGCCAGTGTGAAGCAAACCTAAGACCTGCATCGTACTGACGCCGAGGAGGTGCAGACAAAGGGAGCTTCTGCAGAGATCCCAGACAGCCTGTGTGAGCATGAAGTTAACGCGTGGAGCTGAGGAGAGCCAACCAGAGGGAAGCAGAGAACCCCAGCCTGGAGGCAACACTCACATTCTCATGTCCTCCTGTATTTGAAGCCGGTCCTAGCCTAGAGTTTCCAGTTATGTGAGCCAATAAATTCTTTTTTAAAAGGCTGTTTGGACGGGATAGTTTGTCACTTGCAAACAAAGAGTCCTAAACAGATATGCCCAGAAGTGGACAGTCCAGCAATGGACTGCTTTGTGGCTAGCAAAGCAGACAAGCACTTAAAATGTGCCTTCTCTTTGTGCCTCGGTGGCACAAAGACACTGTCCTATTAATCGTTGTCATAATGAGTCAAAGTTGACTTCAGAATCCTGGAGTGATCATTTTGTGCAATTAAACTGTGAGCAGCTTGAGGGTAGGAACTGGGTCTTATCCACCTGTTTCCCCAGAAGCTAACTCGGGGCACGGTGCACACAAAAGTGCTTCCCACACTCCTGTTGAGTGAATGAGAGGCCTCTGATCTGAGGCTCTCAAGTGAGCACGGTTGCTACGAGCAAGTGAAAGGTGATAGAATGTATAGAAAATGTAGCCTGCCAGAAGGTTTCCCAGTACTGGGGCCTGGAATTAGCAAGAGGCCAGCACTGAGTGCTGGGAGCTTAGGGTGAGAATAATGGATTCCCTGAGGCTGGTAGAAGACCTCATTCTCTTCTGCACAGAAGCCCCTGCATGAAGACCCACCACAGAGTTCATCAGAGGGGAAAGGCCCAGAGCCTTCTTGGACTGCAGCAGGCCACAAGCTACCTTAATCGTGGGATGCTACCACCAACACTGGGGTAATGGGCGTGCTCAATGACAGGCAGTACAACAAACTTGTAGAGAGCATGGCTTTGGGTTCAGATTGGGCTCCTTCGCTTCCTAGCGTAGGCTTGGGCGAGCCACCTAACCTCTTAGAGCCTCAGTTTCCCCATCTGCAGAATGGGATTTAAGAAGGGTACTTACCTTCAATAACCGTTATGAGAATTTGATGAGAAAATGCACGTAGAGGACTTTAATCTAGTGCCTGGGACAAAAATAAGTGATCAATAAACACTTCACAAACACACACACGCACACACACAGATTTAAAATAAAAAAAATCCAAGGGGCAGTATCACATGTGTGAAGACACAAATGCTAGAATGTTGCATATGCCTTCATAGGGAACTCAGTATCCTGCGGCCTCTGGTGACCGGTCTTAAACTTCTGAAGGCACTCTTGCAGATGACCGCTCCTTCTCCCATTTCCCCTTCTTTGATGTTCCCAGCTCCACCTTCCCACAGTTACCTTTTTCTTTCTTTCTTTTTTTTAAGGATTTTATTTATTTATTTGACAGGGAGAGACACAGTGAGAGAGGAAACACAAGCAGGGGGAGTGGAAGAGGGAGAAGCAGGCTTCCCGCCGAGCAGAGAGGACGATGCGGGGCTCGATCCCAGGACCCTGGGATCATGATCTGAGCCGAAGGCAGACGCTTAATGACTGAGCCACCCAGGCGCCCAGTTACCTTCTTTCAAATAGCTCTACCGTTGAAGCAGCCCTCCTTGGAACCTTGGCCTTCGCCTCCTCGGATCTGAGCTAAAGGAGATTTCAGGGACGGTTCCTGGAGGAAGCACACAGAAACACCCCCTTGGGACCTCCCCATCCCCCACCTGCCACCTCACCCTTCCAAAAAGCCACAGGAGCATGTTTGAGAAAAGTTAAGCTGTTTTATTTCACAGGATAGCTCCACGTCAAACCAGCAGGCACCACCAGAATACGCAACAGAGGATCCAGTCAGACACTCTATAGGACGGGCGTTGGGTTGTTAAGGTAGAGAAACGATACCGGAGGAGGGCGACACTTATCATCACGTGGGGACAGGCAACCAGCAATTTCCTAGGGTTGTTTTCGTGGGTTTTTTTTTTTTTTTTTTTTTTTTCCTGACACAGTCTGGGGAGGAAACCAAAGGAAACTAAATTGACCAGCCACTCTGAAGCAATCAGAACCAAATCTATTGCCAAACCGTGTAAACAGTCACACTGCCCGGAACTAGAGTCTGAGCCGGAACTCTAGCCAGAATCTACTTCCGTCTAAGGAAGGCCAAGTGCACTCTGGTTGCTCTGGTTCAAGGAACAGCTTTGTTATTTGCCTGGGACAGTTCACACAGGAAGGAGGTGCCGGCAAGGGGCAGCGGTGGCCATTCGGCCAGTCCCAGAGGATGGGACAGCGGGACGCTTGGCAGACCGACCTCAGAGAAGCCAGGAGGAGTCCGGCACGGCAGTGAAGCCCCTTCTCTCGGCTCCCCCGGGGCGGCTTTGGGTATGTGGGGATTTCTCTCCACGGCTGCTCCGAAGAGAGGAGGCCCCAGAGAACCGGGGAAGTTGACATGAAACGTCAGCATTAGCTCTGCATAGCAGAAAATCAGCTAAGCAACACCTCGCTCACCCCTTCCTGCCTTGTCCTCCCCGCCCGTCCTCCCGAGCCCTACAGGGCCCCCTGCCAGGGTTGGGAGCCAGCCATTCTTCTTTCTGGGATTCTCAGGAGAATGAGGCATTTGCTCAAATGTGGAACCATCTGGACGTGTGAAAAGTTAGGAATAGAAAGACTGAGAGGAAGAACCATCACGTTAGTCCTTGTGGCTTTCCATCGGCCGCGGACGTGTGCTGAGTGCCAAGGAGCGACCAGGCCCCAGAAGTCCTCTGCATTCATGCCTCCTGAATGAGAAAGTATACCCAACAAGGCACTCCAAGGGACTCCAGCAGAGAAGCCGGCCCCACGTAAAGGCCCTTCCCCTCACTGGCTCCCCTTTGTGTACCACAACCCAGTTCTGAAGTGTTTATAAGGCAGGTCTCTGAGCTGCTACTTCCAGCCGGGAGCCACACGCTGGCCCCGTTTCCCTGCGTCTCTTCCCACTTGGATTTCTTCGTTGAATAGAAACCTTTCATCCCTTGGGAATCCATTTCTCTCCTGCCTCTTGGCCTGGTGACCTCAGAGAAAAGACTCCCAAGTCTAATTCCCAAGCTTACAATTCCCTCCAGTTGTGCGCTCTGTCCGGGGTTCAAAAGGCGCTTCAAGGTGAGAAATCGTTAGCACTGAAAACAAGGAAAGGCAAGAATTTTTCATAGAATCCCACAGCTCAGAGCAGCTCTTTAAGAGGAAAGGGGAATAAAGGGAGAGAGGGAGAGTCGGGTAGGAAGCACGGCTTGTTCTCAATTTTATCGGAGAAAGGTCTTTAGCGGTGGCTGGGCCCCAAGGCCCAGGAAACTAGACCAGGAATGAATTGTCTTTGGTCAGTTTTAAATGAACATCTTGCTGGTTCATTCCTAAAATAGACTAAACATCGGTTACACATAAAGACAAAAGGCTTGATCTCAGGGTAAGTGGAAGGTTAAGAAAAGAAATCATTCTGTGAAGAAAAAAAATAAAATGCCCGTTATCAACGAACTGATCAGTATAGCTCTCAGTAATGGCGATGAACAAGTAGGTAAACACCACTCCCCCTTGTACAATTGGTTATATTGAGGACTACTAACTAGGTTTACTACATTTCCCCCACACTCACTGTACAGTTAGGTTTCTGGTATTTGTTTTTTTACATTGATCTATCTACTAGGTGCAAAGATTTGGTGAGTGGCATTGGCTATAATTTAATCGTAGCCTTTTTAAAAATTACAGTTTCACATTTTAACAGTTACTTTCCAGCATTTAAGCAAATACAGCAAATATATAGTGGACTATCACAGGCAGGAGTCAGGAAGAGAATGCCAATGCTCAGTGACCGTGGATGGGACAGGGTGCGCGTGGAGGGTGGTGGAGACATGCATAGTGGCCAGATGAGGGAGTGGGGGGGGGGGCTGGGAAAGGATTTTTCCATTTGGTTCTGCGTCAAGGGTCAGATCTGAGGCTGGATGAGTGGGGTGTGAGCTTCCCTAAATGTGAACTCATCAGCTGTTTCCCAGTGGAAAAATAGGTGCTTTAAAAAAAACAGCAAAGGCTCTGCCTTCAGGTAATTTGGTGAAGGGCAGATCCATTTTCAGTAAGGAAAAAATGCAGTGAATTCATGGAAAAACCCACACGGTCTGACTGGTGTTCTATGTATCAGGCAACAGATTTGTCAACTCAGATTTTCCTTTTCATCTGGTAGTCATGGCAGAGAATGTGACATCTGGCACAGGAGGCTACTGCATTTAAGGTCTGGGGGTATCTCTGGGGTAGAAATGAGAAGCCTGTGTCCTGGCTGGACGGCATAGCGTCCTTGCAGGTAAGTGTCTGACACGGCCCTCGATCTCGGCCATCCATTAAATCTTGGGCACGTCACAGCACATCCCAAGGCCTTGCTTTCTTTCCTAAGCTGTAAAATGGGGATGTCGTCATCTGCTCAAAGACAGAGGGGCTCCTAACTGGTTCCGAGGCTCTTTCATTTCCGGGAGCTCAAACAGAACGGTTGGTTTTAGGCTAAACAAGGAAGGTCAAGTTTGTCATTGACCTCTCTCTGGCACTCTTTGTGCCCTTTCTGGACTTTTCCACTGAGTGCGCAAACTGCCAATCCCTCCAACAAGACAGAACGGCTTACCACTCCTACACACCCAGGTATTAGTGATTTAATAGGTCCCTCCCCCTGGGGTGTATTTACCTTTTTATGGAGGACCAGAAGAGATGGCAAAACTTAATCCAGTGGGGTGAAATGGTAATGACAGAATTTCAAGCATCAATAGGTAGTATCTCTGTAGAGCTGTGCTTCAGGGCTCTTAAGAAACTGTTAGGAAAATTCCACTGCCCAGTTCTCAAATGCCATTAGGAGACTTCAAAAGGAAGATCCTGGATGGGTTTTGAATCTAAAAGACTTACCTTACTAATGATAATAAAAAGAGCAATCATGTTGGCACAGTGCTTTCCAGCTTACAGAACTTGCTCATTTACATTTTACCTTTGTTACCTTCGTTTTATGGAGTAGGAAACTGGGGCTCAATGAGGTGGAGTGACATGCCCAAAGTCCCACAGCTCCTATGGGGTTGGGGCTGGGACGCAAACACAGGACTTTTGACTCCAAACCACAGCCATGGAGATACACTCAGAGGCCTTGGGAGAAAGAGAGAAAGCTTGAGAAGAAAAAGGAGACCCTTGGCTTGGAATGAGGGGATGAATAAAAGTGGTCCCCGTAGGATCTGATCCGCCTTCGCTCCATTAGCCAGAAACAGCCTATCTCTGGAAAATGAAAAGATCAAAAGAGGAAGTAAAATGGAACAAGAGTGATCCAGAAGGCCTTTTCCCAGCTGAGAGGCAGAAGTCTAGCTCCTAATTCCTAAAAGTCACTCACCTCAGTTCTATCACCATATTTGCAATTACATTAAATGCTCTGGAGGTGGTGGGAGGAGCGTGGGGGGGGCGGGCAGGGGTTGGGAAGGGAGAGAGGAAGCCATTTCACCTGCATAAACTCAACCGGAGTGTTTTCTGGGACGGAAAGTGCCAAGGATGGCCCCCCTCTGGCCCCTGCTGAGAGGCTCCTGGGCCTCATGCAGGAGGGCACCAGCCAAAGTGGGTCATGGACTGATTTTAAGTTAAAATGATATGACTGTAAGCCTCCTTGCCTGTTTAGTTCCAGATCTGACACAGTATAATTAGTAGAAAGAAGAAAAGAAAAAATTAAATATTTTGAAAATGGTATAAGTTAAACCTCTATAGTTACCACAGGTTTATTCCTACAGCATGTCTAGGTTTTGAAGTGTTCCACACCACTGTTTTTGTTTTTCCTTTTTCCCAACCACACAGAACACTGTGCTACAACGGGGCTTAGGTTCTCACTATACCCTTTTTCTACGTACAAACACAAGGATGCTGTGGTCAGGGGCCATCTCGCCAACATCCTCCCGTGCCTTGGGGGATACAGTTGGCCCTCGGCCTCCAGGTGGAAAGGCAGGGTCTCTGGGGTGGATGGGGGCGGGTGTTCTGTGAAGGGTTCCCCACCTCTAGGAGCAACCTGCTTGGGGGTACCGCCTGCCCCACCCTTCCGTTAGGGGCAGACTATTCTGGAAGGCCACGACTTCTGGAGACAGTGGGAGACCATTTTTGTGTGTTTTTCTGCAGGTTAGTGGTGTATTGCTTCGTTCGAAGTCACTGAGGCCTCTAAATTCTCCCAGAAAGGTCCCTGCAAGTCCCACCAAGTAACTCAGCAGGAGGTGTTTGGTGGCATGGGTCTGAGGTAAATCTAAGTTTCATAAAAAGAAAAACGGAGATCCTATATACATTTAGTCGTGTGTCCAGATCTAGTATATGTATACAGATGCATAAATATATATATCTACACACACCGACACATACATGTATGTGTGTATATATGCACACACATATATACACACATATTTATGTATGCAGAGAGAATGTCGAGAGAATAATTTTCCAGTGACCATACGCTGGGAAGCCATCGAACATTTTGGCCCAAGCTTAGGAGATGCTTTAGTGGGGCCTCCTGCCCCCCCCACCCCCCCGGGGGGCCTGCTCGCACACGGGAGGTCTGTGGGATTCACATGGCTGAATACCAGCTGCGGCCAGCGGCCGGGCCTCGGCTCTGCACAGACGCGTTTCCAGGCGACCTTCTGGTCCCTGCCCGACAAGGCCAGGAGCCCGTGGCAAGGCCGCGGAGGTCACAGAGGCCACCCTCAGCCGTGGCGGCGCCGCCCTGTGCTGTAGGTCACATGGTGCCCGACTTGTCCGCGGAGCTGTTGGGGAACATCTTCTCGGTGGGCGTCACGGCCGGGCTGCCCACGCCCGAGCTGCTGCTGCTGCTGGAGCGATGCTGGACCACAGGCCGCACGGGCCGCATCGGGGGCGGGCGCAGCTGGGCGCCGGCCAGACGCGCCGACAGGGCGGGCTTGAAGGTGGTCATCATCTCGGTGGACGAGCTGCTGCTGCGGCGCATGGCGGCGTCCGGGTCGCGGATGACGATGGTGTGCAGGGGGCTGGCGGGCTCGGAGCTGATGGGGCCCGGCGGGTTCTTCAGGGGCTCCAGGGTGTCCAGCACCACATCTGGCGCCTGCTTGACCGTGTTCTGTCTCTCGAGTTCCCGCAACTCGTGCAGAGCCGTGCTCATGGTCTTCTCGATGTCCTGCCCACGGAAAGAGCTCTGGTCAGCACAGGGGCCGGAGACCTGGGCTCCAGGCCTTCCCCAGCTGCTAATCGGCCTATGGGCTTCGTACAGAGATTTCCCCACACACGAGCCTCGCGCCTGGGATGGAGATGAAATCTCCAGGGTGTCCTACGACCAACTGAGGGAATCCGTGCGGGCATCACCTGCACACTTGCCTGCACAGGTAGCAGACTGCAATGAGGGCGGACTACTGCTTGAGAAGGTCGGCTCTGGAATCAGACAGGCATGGGTTGGAATCCTGGCTCTGCCACTTCCTTGCTATGTCACTTTGGATAAGTTACCTCACCTCTCTGAGCCTCAGAATCCTCATTGGTGAACACAGATCATGATAACACGACCTCAGGGGGCTGATGAGTGTGTTAAATGATAGGATCCCTGTGAAGAGGTTCCCATGGCCCCTGACACATAGTAGGCACTCACAAATAATAATGGCAGTAACAATGGTAATAAGAGAGCACCAATCCAAGCCCTTTCCTTTCGTAGCTCATTTAATCCTCACACTTATAAGGTAGGAACTACCATTATGCTCATTTCACACGTGAGAAAAATGGAAGCTTAGCCTGGTTAAGTAACTTGCCCAAGGTCACACAGCTAGTTAGTAACATAGCCCAAGTCTCAACCTACAGCCCAGGCCCTTAGCCGTTATTGTTATTTTTAAAAAATTATTTATTTATTTAAGTAATCTCTACCCCCAGTGTGGGGCTCGAACTCAACCCCGAGATCAAGAGTTGCATGTTCTTCTGACTGAGCCTGCAAAGCACCCCACATTATTGTTATTTAAAAAAAAAACCCTTGCCCAGAGAAAAATTCCCTGGTGGTTATATATTAGAATGTCCACAAAGTTCACACCAGAATAATGCGACTGTCACTTTCTTCTCTGTATTGTAATCAGAAAAGTTTGCTTTTTTTAAAAATGTAAATTTTAAAAAGCAAAAAAACCTCTCATTTGCCTATGCAATTCCTGGAGATTAAGAGCTCAGCAGTATGAGAGCACTTTGGATGACAGAGAGAGCCATGAAGGCAGTCCAGGACCTGGGAGCAGCCAGGCCGCCCGGTCAGCCTGGGTGGGGGCTCATCATTCCACCTTCCCAGGGCTTCTGTTCCTCCTCGAGCCGGGAGGGGGCGCTGCAGCCGGCAGTCAGCATTCAAACCAGGAGCCCTGGGCTACGGCAAAAGGCCTGGATTTTTTAGTGGAAAGACTCCTCTGCCATTTGCTGGCTGTGTAACCTTGGACAAGTCTCAGGCCCCCTGCACCATGCTTTGCTTCTCTGTTGAAAGCCCCTACACTCACCATAAAGATGGGATGAGATAATGGATGTGATGGAGCTTTGTGAACTGCCGGGCAGTGGTTTCACACTCCCTTTAGCTAGAGCCCTTGGCTCACACAGCTATTACAGGGATGCCTCCACACAAATGGGGCACAGGGAGCCGCTCAGGCTGAGCTAGGCCACAGCCCAAGCGACGCAGCCACTGACGGGACAACAAGGGATATTGCTTAAAACCGCTACTAGAAGGCGCGGTGCACAACCTCCGGTGACCGTGAGCACTCTTTTAAGACACATTCGCTTTTCTGCCCTGAGGCAAACCCAGAAAAACTGCAAGTCTGGTCACACTGATGGAGTTGGAGCCTAGAGATGCCCTGCCGGCCCCTTTCTGAGGCTGTGGCCTCCTTTACTCTCTCTCCTCCCCAGCCCACAGGCGGCCTCCTGCCTGCCCTGGGCCCCCACAACGGGCTCCAATCTGGCACAGGCAGGGTCCCTGCCTATCCCTTTTGCTTTGTTAAGAGACTATGGGATGACTGGTCAACGGCGAATAGTAGCTTTTATGCTTCCTCATGACATTTTATCCCTTGCCCAGAACACTAGTTACTTTAAGAATGGGATTTTTGTGCTTTTATCCAAAGGATTAGCTGTGGGGGACCTTCTCCATGAGGGGAGAGATGACAATCCTCTCCCCATCTTTACTATATCCCAGCCCGGCAGTGATAATGCCCGCTTTCCATGTCCCGTTCCGCTTAAGTGAAGTCCCCGGTGGACTTCACTGCTCTCTGCAATGCTCCAGCATGAACTGAAAGGAAAAACTGTAAAAATAAATGCAATGATTACCCCTCTACCACCATCCCCACCACCACTCCACCCTGGCAGAGTGTGAGCCAGAAAGACAGAAAGCTCAGAGAAAGAGCAGCTGAGTGGTTTAGGCATGAGCCTTGCATTAGTCTGAGAGGTAATGCAGCAATCTGCAGAGTGGGGCTGCAGAAAGGCGCTCAAGGAAGATGGACAGCGGAGGGCAGGGTCTGGGGCCATTTTAGGTCATCACTGTACTGTCAGTGCCTAGTGCAGTGACTGGCACACAACAGCAGCTTAATTGATATTTGTCAATAAAGGAACAAATGAATGAACAGATGAATGAATGATCAGACAAATGAATGAACAAACGAATGAATGAATGAATAACTCAACTGTGCCATCTTGTGGAGACAGACACCTGCCATGACCACATCCCTCTCATCCGGCCTGCCCCCAGGGCAGGCATTCCCCCTCCAGCCCTGGAGACTGGAGGTCTTCGGTTTTTACAGAATCCCTAGCCAGCAGCTGTACCCACTCAGCTTCCGCTCCCATGGGGAGGCCAGCAGGGGGACAGGAAGCCAGCTTGCTATCTACCTTGGGTTCTAGCTTAACCTTGAGCCTGGGTGTGAATGGCAAAGTGGCTCCCCAGTCTGCAGGCTCCCACCCGGCCGCCCCTCTAGAGTTCTCAGCTGGCCCCACCTGCCTTCCCACTGGCCCTTACTTCTGCCAGGGCCTCAGCCTCCAGGGACTTGTGGTCCCCCAGGCTGCTGTGCCTGGTGGAGCCGCATGTCGACCTCATCGAGTGCCCTTCCGAGAGAGCCTTCTTGTCAGGGTAGTTGATGCTGCCGGCACTCCCAAATGTCGCCATCCTCCGCTTCTCAGGGCTCTCGATCCTCCCCCGGGTGAGGGGGATTTTGTGGGGGCTGCTGGGGCAGGCGGCAGCCCGGGGCGGCGTGTCTATGCTGGGGCCCAGGCCCCGGGGTGGGCTGTGGGTGTCGCCCCCGCTTCGGCGCCTGGGGATGGCCGCTCCGTCAGATCGTAACCGCACTCTGCAAAGGAGCCAGGGGGCGGGGGCATGGGGCAGAGGTCAACCCTGGCAAGTCTCAGAATGGATCAGCTAACCCCAGGCCACACACTACACACTAGTCTAGGAAACAGGTATAGTAAAGCCTCATTAAGCCAAACTCAATTGCGCAACGAAAGCACAGGCTGAGCATGTAACTCCATGGCAAGGGGCCGGTTTAATCTGCACACACGAAGGAATCGGAAGCATTCTGCTTTCCAAACTGCAGACGGTGGTGCTACTAATTACACAGTGAATTTTGCCTACATGTCAAGTCAAGGTCAGGAGAATTTCAACCTGGAAACGCTTTGGTGATGGTTAGTTGGGCTCATGACATGTTCTTATGTGGTTCAGGTATTTCCATGATTCTGAAGGGCTTCTTAATTGGTCTGAGGCATTGAGGCTTGACTGTACCAAAAAGTCACCAGCTGCCTGCAAGCACAGGAGGGGGTCCCGGGGAACTGGACACCATCCCGTGTTGTCACCCACCCCCAATCTTCTCAGCAAAGGGCTATTTCTATGGGGCTTTTCCAAATCTTGGAAAATTAGTCATTCAGGAGTAAAAACTGCATCACTCAACATGCCTTCCATGCATCTGGCCACTTTTCACTCTTTAGGGAGGCTCTGTCAGAGTAAAAAGGGGACTAGAGTATCTATTAGGAGGGCTGGCTTTCCTGTGTCCTCTTTCAGACCCATTTTATTAATCTGGTAAGTGGGCATAATATTCCTTGCCCACCTTCCAGGGAGCTTTGGTGGGTGTGAAAGCCCTCTGAAGATAAAAGGCTCCACCCGCAGGTGATTTTGCTACATCCTAGGGAGGTCAAGATTTGAAGGGAGGGGAGGCTGGAAGTGGCAAGGGGGTGGGAAGGAGAGGCAGACTGTTGGAACAGACTGTGACTGAAGGGCCAAGTTCAACGTGGTCAGTAGCACTTCAGATCCCAGAGCCACCAGCCAAGCTAAGCACCGCCTGTGGGTACCCCACCAGGACCAAAGCATAGGTGTTGGAGAGAAGGAAGTATTGAGAAAGAAGAGAACCAGAATAAAGTAGGGGAGGGAGGGAAGAGGGAGAGGAAGAGCAAGGCAGGAGAAGATATGGCCCTCCTAGAATTCAAGGAACCACGGCTTTGTCTTCTACCTACCCCAGACTTCCATTTTGCCCCCGATTCCTTTACCTATCACACTGCCTGAGCCGTTAGCTGAACTGAACGGAATATACTGAAAGGAGGCACGGAAACTTCTGCCAAAGTAAATTCATAAACATATGTTCCTATAGCGACTGTATCTCTGGCTCTATCTCCAAGTACACATATGTGGAAGCTGATCCCATGACCACTCCGCCGAAAAAAACGAAAAATATGACATTTTGAGAATCTGATTAAGAAAGCAGCAAGAAACTGTCAGCTTCTCTTTTCTTCTTTTTCTTAAATTTTTTTAACGACCACATTCTTTGGACCATACAGGCATGCAGAATGACAGGCACAGCTTCTTGCCTGGCAGAAAGGTCACGTGACACAGCCCAGCCCACACACCGGGAGGGAAGAAATCGGCAAATGTGCTCCCACCAAATCAGTGGGGGGAGTCGAGTGTCAATTTCCCCCACCACAGGCGTGGGTGTGAGATTTCTGTGTGTGTAGTGCACTTCAGGGAGTACCTGAGCCTTACATTTTTAAATATAACAACTTAGGTCTTCAACAGAAAATGGGGAGGAGGTATAAGAACTGGAGAGAGGTAGGAAAAATACTTGTCAGTTTATAACTCTCTCTTTCTCCCCATTTATTATTACTATTTTACATAAAAAGCATTGATTTGCCAATATATGTCTTTTTTCCTCCTTCTCCACACCCCAACTCCAAACTGGACCCTTTTACGCCTGGCATTCTGGGGCCAGTTCCAGCCAGGAACCCCCCGCCCCGCCACAGTGTGCCTGATACCACATCCTGCAGGGAACAAGGGGCCACAATAGCCTCCCTCTCTCCCCTCTGCCCCCCTGCCTCTCCCAAATCAGACAGAGCTGGGCATGGCACTAGCAGGGAAAAATGAATCCGCATTTCCTACCGGCCCATCACCCCCCCAAAGCCGTAATCCGAGATGTGCTCCGTGGGCGACTGGAGGTCGTTTTTGGAGGAGGCCTTGTCATCCAGCAGCGGCCCACTGCTGGCCTCGCTGTCAGCCTTCTGGCTCAGGCTGTCGGAGAAGGCATCATCCCTGGGGAGAAGGACAGAGGTGAATCGGCAGTGCTTTGCTCCAGAGAGCCCCAGATGTGCAGGGCTCCTGGAGACCTGTCTGAAGGGTGGATCCACACACACCTTACGGTTAACTTACGCCCATCCTCGGGATGAGGCACTTCCCACTCTGCACCTTAGCATCACACACATGCCCACTGGCTCGCTCTCTCCTAAGTTACTGTCTCGGGCGGGAGACCAGCCCCCCCTCTGCCCCAGGCCTACCTTCTCCTCTCCCCTCCTCTAGGTTTTTCTCTCCCGGGCTGCTCCAGGCTAGGACAAGCTAAACGCTGGAGGGAGTGCTGGAGTAATGCGGGGAGGAACCTAAAAGCTGAGCACTGAGAGCTGAGTCTCCATGCGGGGCCCTGAGAAGCAGTTTAGGGCTAAGCAAGGGAGGAAGAAAAATGCCTCCATCCCTCAGCTCCCGACTCAGGGTTTTGGATAATTGTGAGGTGGCTGCCAACGTTCCTCCACTGGCATTTCTCTTGTTGTCTGCCTGGCCTTGGCCTTTTCTCTGGTTTCACACCATCTCCTCTGCCATCAAAGCTTATGCTTTCCCTTGGGAGCCAGTATGGTGGTTGCTTGCTTGATAAATCAGTTCCACCTGAGCCTGACTCAGAAGGAGTGCGTGGCTTTCAAAGAAGAGAAGGTGTAGACTTTCTGGATCTTCGGGTAGGGCTAGGTATTTGGGATGCAGGCCTTTCTTTCTAAAAAAAAAAACAATATTAAAAAAATAACAGTATCCCGCTAACTGGAAATGAGGGGATGACTGTTTCTGTGCATCCTCTGAGCGAGCCACTTGGGGGATAGAGACTGGTGGGCAGTGAAGGGGACGGTGGGCTGGCTGCTGAGTATAGGGAAGGCCCAGGAGGGTAGAGGAATATGGCAAGATCCACTGGATGCTGAGAACCAGGGCAGGTGATGAATGCCAGGTGGATCAGGATGGTGAGTCAAACGCTGCCTCTGTGTGCTCTAAAGGATGACCAGTTTGCTTATTTGTTAAGTGGATCACCATTTAAGGGGAAGTTAGATATAATCCATTCTTACAAAAGACCAAGTGTGTCATACCAGTGAGAGCAAATGGTTCGCACACAGCCCAGAACTCCTATTCCTGTGCCCATTCAAGACATCACTAATCGATTATGGCATTCTTCACAGAAGGTCTGGATTCCCACTCACATGTCCTGTACGACTATGTACTGATGTGGGATGAGTCCGTCCACGCCATTGTGACGACCCTCCCACCAATCCTCCGAGGCGCGGTGGTACAGTAGCAGCGAGGCCCCCTTCTTGAAGGACAGCTCACGCGGGGACCGCCCCACATAGTCAAACTTGGCGATGGCCTCAATCTGCTCCACTTCTAGAAGGAAAGCAAGGGAAAGAACAGCCATGAAGTGAGTAGGATGGCAGCCAGGAGCCTTGCTCAGATGGCCTTGGCTTCCGCAGGGGCAGCACAGACAGCAGGCCGATGGAAACAGGGTGGGCCGGGGGCTCAGGACACCAGGTTCTAGCTCAGATCTGTTCCCCATGCTGAGGCCTCAGGTAGGCCATCTAACTTCTGACATACCATATCTTTATTTTCCACTACCCCTCTTGTTTTCTGCTTTCTAAAACTAATTAAAAGAATATCTTAAGAAATTTCTCTTTCTTCTACCTCTCGATACAAGTTCCATTTCTATTTGTCCATGAACTCTCTCTTTGTCTACCTATAATACTTTTAGTGGTTCTTATCTTTTGGGTGTATGTGGATTCCCATCCACGCAAAGACGCTGTACACAATTTTTAAGGGCTCCCAGAACTCTTCAAAGCTCATTGTAATGGACTGTTATGGTGTCCCCCCGCCCCCAAATCCATATGCTGAAGTCCCAACTCCCAATTTGATGGTATTTGGAGATGGGTGTTTAGGAGTAATTGAGGTTAAAGTGAGTAATTAGGGTAGGGCCCTACTCTGACAGGACTGGGGTCCCTCTGTGAAGAGGAAGAGATACCAGAGATCTCTCTTTTTCTCTGTGAATGTACACAGAGGAAAGGTCATGTGAGGACACAGTGAGAAGGCAGCTTTCTACAAGCCAGGAGGAGACGCTTCACCAGAAACCAGCCCTGACAGCACCTTGATCTTGGACTTCTAGGCTCCAGAGCTATGAGGAAATAAATTTCTGTTGTTTAAGCCACCCAGTTCTGTTCTGGCAGCCTGAGCTGAATAACACATTCATCCATGGACTTAATGTGGGGGGAGAGAGAATTCTTACTGGGGCCACAGCTCAAGCTTATCTCTTTGCACACACACATTTACCAATCAAACCTGTATTCTTCACTGGTTAGTGACAAGCCCTGACTGGATTAAGCAATGAGGCTAGGGCTCTTGCCCCTGAGGCACTCCTACGGCCCAGCTCCATCACCTCAGGCAGGTCACATAACCCCTGTACACCTCAGTTGATTTTGGAGGATTAAAAGATAATGCATGGGGGAAGACATCCAGATGGCCAACACACACATGAAAAAGTGCTCACTATCACTCATCATCAGGGAGATGCAAATCACAACCACCATGAGATAGCACCTCACACCTGTCAGAATGGCTACTATAAAACAACAACAACAAGAAATAACAAGAGTTGGTGAGGATGCAGAGAAAAGGGAACCCTCCTACACTGTTGGTGGGAATGCAAGCTGGTGCAGCCACTGTAGAAAACAGTATGGAGGTTCATCAAAAAATTAAAAATAGAACTACCTTATGGTTCAATAATTCCACTGCTGGGTATTTCTCCACAGGAAACAAAAACACTAACTTGAAAAGATAGATGGATAAATGGATGAAGAAAATGTATATAGATAGAGTGGAATATTATTCCATAACATTATGCCATAAAAATGAAGGAAAATCTTCTATTTGAAGCAACATGGATGGACCTTGAGGGCATTATGCTAAGAGAAATAAGTCAGACAGAGAAAAACAAATACTGTATGATCTTGCTTATACGTGGAATCTAAAAACGAAAAGAAACCAAACTCTCAGATACAGAGAACAGTCTGGTGGTTGCTAGAGGCAGAGGGTAAGGAGTGGGCAAAATGGGTAAAGGTGGTCCAAAGGCACAAACTTCCAGTTCTAAAATAAATATATTCTGGTGATGGAATGTAGAGCATGATGACTACAGCTAATAATACTGCATTGCATTGGAAGTTGCTAAGAGAGTAGATCTTACAAGTTTTCATCACAAGAAAAGAAAATCTGTAACTATGAATGGTGACTACATGCATACTTCAATGTATGGATGTATGTTAACTAGACTTACTGTGGTGATCACTTTGCAATACATGTATCGAATTGTTATGTTATCCACCTGAAACTAATATTTTATGTCAATTATATCTCAATTAAAAAAGAAATATACTAGACTTTAATAGATTTTTTAAAAAGATTTATTTGTTAGAGAGAGAGAGAATGAGAGAGAGAGAGAGAGCATGAGAGGGGAGAGGTCAGAGGGAGAAGCAGACTCCCCGCTGAGCAGGGAGCCCGAGGCAGGACTCGATCCCGGGACTCCAGGATCATGACCTGAGCCGAAAGCAGTTGAGCCACCCAGGCGCCCTAGACTTTAATAGATTTTTAAAAGCCATAATGAATGAAATTCCTTAGCATAGTACAGATATACATGAGGTCTTCAGCTGATAGTAGCTCTCCTGATTACGATTATTATTACTAGTGGCTTTACCCTATGGGGTAGGTCCAGCAAGAAATCTAGTCAGGTCACATAACCTCTGGACACCTCAGCTGGTTTTGGAGGATTAAAAGATAATGCATGTGGTTTTATTTATTTTAGTTTATGTGGTTTTCCCAAAGCCATATAGCTAGTGAGGTTTGGAAAGAGACTTTTTGGGGAGCAGGGGAGCGATGCCTATGATTTATTTAATCTGTGTTAAGGCTGTACCCTAAGAGATGCCCATACTTGGTAGAAAACTGACTGTGAGTATTAATGTATTTATACTTTAAAGCAAGCACAAAGATGTTTGACACTAAAAAAATACACATATTTATGTGTATATTTACATATATAAAAACAATAAATGCATTGAATTCTAATAGAACAAAAGAGTAATGAAAATGACCCCTGCTCTCTCTAGCCTGCAGCTACCTTCCTTATGCTGACTCTCTATTGCTCCATTCTTTATGGATTATCTTGTATCTGTCCATCCAGCCATCAAGGAGTCGCTGCCTGGGCATCTAGGTCCTGCCTTCCGCATCTCCAGAGCCTCCCACAGTCACTGGGGGTGGTCTGGAGTTGGGAGTGGGGGGACGAGGAGGAATGGGAAATGTAGGGGGAACAAAAGAAGAAAAGAGGAGGAGCAGAGCTGAGCCGCGGGGGCTGAGAGAGGGCACGTGTGATTGCAGACGCCATTACGGAAGTGTGTGTGGTAGAAGGAGTAATCGTAGCCACCATTTATTAGGAAGTCTCTTATTTGGGTTTATCATACCTGAAATAGAATATGTGATTCTCCCCCTTATCACTAGCCCACACACCCCTCCCCAAACTTACTTAATTCTCTCGTCTTCCCCATCTTAGGAAATAGAACTGTCTGCCCGCTTGCTCAGGCCGAAGCCTTGCTCTTGAGCATTACACATCTTAGCCATGAGCAAGTCCTCTGAAGTGTCCCCTGAATCAGACCCATCTCGCCACCTCCCCTGCCACTGCCCTGGTCCAGACCACCGCTGTCCCTCTACCAGGCCTCCCCCTTTCATTCGTGCTTGGTAGAGCCATTTCTCCTCAGGGCAGCCAGAGGGATCTTTTAAAATTATAATCAGATCATGCAACTCTCTTGTTGAAATCCCTCTGAAGGCTTCCCTCTGTGCTTGGGGCCAACCCCAAATGTCTTCTCATAGCTGCTGAGGCCCCTCTGTGCTCAGGGCTTCGCTCCCTACTGCTCTCTCTCTCACTCAGTCCCTCCCTCACGGCCTCACTAGGCTTCTTAATGTTTCTCTTCCAACACTGTATTCTGACATTTTTCAAACACAAAAGTAAAGTTGAAAGGGAACATGCATATACCTGCCACCTAAATTCTACTGTTAACATTTTACTGTATTAGCTTTATCACATATCTATCCATCCATCCATCTATCCATCTTATTTTTTAGTGAAATTTAAAGTAAGTTGCAGACATCAGGACACTTTACCCCTGAACATTCTAACATAAATATTCATAGAGCCTTCTCGATGTTTTTAAAACATTCCAAACCTTTTCCTGCCATAGGACCTTTGCACTTATTATTGCCTCTCCCTGGGATACTGTTCTCCCAGATGTTTGCATTCATTCACATTCAACAAATATTTATTGACCCTTGTGTGCCATCTCCTAATTTCATTCAGGTCTGTACTCAAATGTCTTTGCCTCAGCAAGGCCAAAGGACTTGGCCACCCTCAACTACAAAAGTACTAACTGTCAAATCACTCTAACATTTTCCCTTCCTTTATTCTTCTTCATAGCACTGAGCACAACTGGAACTTGTGTGTGTGTGCGCGCGCGTGTGTGTGCACTTATAGTTTGAAAACTTGTTTATTTTTTATCTTTCCTACTAAAATGTGAGGTCCATTAGGACAGGGATTTTCATTTTATAATCTACTATTTTCCCCCTTCTAGAACAGTTGCTGGGATAAGTTGGCACTCCATATTATTTGCATGAACAAATTAAGCTTTACCATGTGTTAAGTGTTCTACTTATATTATCACATTTAATCCTCACAACAATACATGCAGCACTATCTTCATTTTACAGATGAGGAAACTGACGCTGAGTTGAAATGATGTATCACACATGGATCAGAAGACTTAACGCTGTTAAGATGGCAATACTCCCAAATTGATCTACCCATTCAGGGCAATCCCTATTAGAATGCTAGCTGACTTCTCTGTAGAGATTGACAAGCTGACTCTAAAATTCATATGGAATTGCAAAGAACCCATAATAGCCACAAAAAAAAAATCTTGAAAAAGAAGAACAAAATTAGAGGACTCACACTTCCTGATTTCAAACTTACTACAAAGCAACAGTAATCAAGACAGTGCGGTGCTGGTACAAGGTCAGACATATAATTCAGTGGAATAGAACTGAAAGTCCAGAAATAACCCCCTACATCTATGGTCAACTGATTTTTTATAAGGGAGCCAAGATCATTCAATGAGGGAAAGAATAATCTTTCCAACTAATGATGGTGCGACGACTGGATAGCCACACACAAAGAAGGAAAGGAGTTGGACCCTTACCTCACACTGTATAAAAAAATTAACTTAAAATGGACTACCAGACATAAGACCTAAAACTTAAAACTCTGGGAAGAAAACGTAGGGTAAATCTTCATGATTTTGGATTTGCTGAAGGACTCTCAGATATAACACCAAAAACATGAGCAACAAAAAGAAAAAAATAGATGAATTGGATATCATCAAAATTGGAAAACTTTTGTGCTTCAAAGTACACCATCAAGAAAGTGAAAAGCACACAGAACATGTTTGCAAATCATATATCAGATAAGAAACTTATATCTAGAATATATAAAGAATGCTTACAACTCAATAATAATAATAAAAAAAAAACAGGGCGCCAGGGTGGCTCAGTCAGTTAAGCGTCTGCCTTTGGCCCAGGTCATGATCCCAGAGTCCTGAGATCAAGCCCTGCGTCAGGCTCCCTGCTTAGCAGGGAGCCTGCTTCTCCCTCTCCTCCTCACTCATGCTCACTCTATCTCTGTCTCTCTCTCTCTCTCTCTCAAATAAATAAAATAAAAAATCTTAACAAACAAAACAAAACAAAACAAAAACGAGGGGCGCCTGGGTGGCTCAGTCGTTAAGTGTCTGCCTTCGGCTCTGGTCATGATCCCAGGGTCCTGGAATCGAGCCCCATGTTGGGCTCCCTGCTCCGCGGGAAGCTTGCTTTTCTCCCTCTCCCACTCTCCCTGTTTATGTTCCCTCTCTCGCTGTGTCTCTCTCTGTCAAATAAATAAATAAAATCTTAAAAAAAAAAAAAAAAACCGAAGTGACTGTTCCGTTTTATATTACCGCCAGCAGTATGTGATCTTTCTCAACACTTGTTATTATATGACTTTTTGATTCTAGCCATCCTAGTGGGTGTGAAGTGGTGTTTCACTGAGATTTTAATTTGAATTTCTCTCATGACTAATGATGCTGAGCATCTTTTCATGTGCTTGTCATTTGTATATCTTCCTTGGAGAAATATCTCTTCAGATCCTTTGCCCATTTTAAAATTTGGCTATTTGTTTTTTTACTTTTATTTATTTATTTATTAAAGATTTTACTTATTTACTTGAGAAAGAGCAAGAGAGAGAGAGCACAGAGGGAGAGGGAGAAGCAGACTTCGTGCTGAGCAAGGAGCCCAACGCAGGGAACAGGGACAGGAACAGCCCCTGCTTGTGCACTCTCTCTCTCTCTCTCTCTCTCTGTGTACGTGTCAAATAAATAAATAAAATCTTTTTAAAAATGTATTAAAATAAGATGATGGATGGATAGATACACAATAAAATAAATATAACAAAATGTTAACACATGTAGAAATTAGGTGGTGGGTTTATGGGCGTGACTGTACAATTTCCATCCACTTTCCTGTGTGCTTGACATTTTTTTCTTAAAGGAAATATCACGAACTGCAGGCCAATAGAAATGTTACCCTGATTTCTGGTAGACGCCGGGAACAATCTGATGAAAACTATGGACTCTTCTCAGAGGTACGCATTCCAACAGAAACAAAATGTTGCTCACAATGGACTTCCTAAAGCCCATTTATGGACCCCTCACATAGCCAAAGATTTAATGGCTTAATGGCTTTCCAGATGTAGATGATGGGCAAGGAGTGGGAGGCCATTGGGAGAATTTCGGGGAAATATCAGTGAGAGAATGGTGATGCCATTATAATTGGAAACTGACGTATTGTAACTACATGATCATGTTTCTGTTACTGATTTGGCAGCCTAGGTCCTCATTTAGCATCCAATTAATAAAGCTGCTATTGACAGGCTGCCTCAATGTTTTCACTTGGCATTGTTCTGACAATCAAGGGTTCTTAGCCCAACCACGGTTTCTTTATAAATCGGGAGACCAAAGAGCAAGCACAAGTGAATTTTCCAGATATATACCCACGATGTGCTAATAGACTCCAGGCAGGGCAGCAGGCATCAGCTAGGTACAGAATATGTTGAGAAAGGAAAGGCCAAAGAACTAAGTTTTTCCTCCAGTTCGGATGGTCACTCACTGGGCGAACCATCTATTACAAAGACATGGGGTCGTGGTTTTCTGGCCAGTTTGACCTTCGAAGTCTACTGGGCTCCATTCATAAGGGCTGTTTTCAAGAAAAACAAAGACACTGATGATCCCCCAAAGGAAATGTCTTAGAGGAAAGTAGACAAAGGTATCAGGAGGTTTAGGCTGCCAATGAGCAGTTAGATCTGTAAAAATCCCCGGGTTCAGTTTCTTGATCAGAATTAGAGGGTTTCTACCAGACACCGTGTAATGTTTCCTACCCGCCTAGTTGTCCCAGACACTGCGCTAAGCTCCTTCAGCTAGGTCACCTCATTTTAACCTAGGCCACAATTCTCTTGGTGCTGTCATTCTCATTTTACAGATAAGGAAACTGAGGTCTGAAGTTACATGGCTTCCCAAAGATCACAGGGCCATGAAGGTCTCTCCCTGTCTTTCAAATCCAGGTCTCCTTTCTCAGAGCCTAGTGTCCCTCAACTGTTCCTGCAACTCAGTATTTCCGTGAATGTTTTTGACTGGGGCAGGCGTGTAGGTAAACACTGAGGAAAGGCAATTAATTTTCCTCCGATGAATGCTCCTGACCCCACAGCCACCACCAACACACAGGAAGCAGTGAGGACCTTTAGGGAGCATGAAACTGGCTCTCCTGAAGCTGGCTTGTTGCCCTTCCAGGATGATCTTTCTGCCTTTGTCATGCTCAGAAACCAGCAACCTGACAAGGAACAATCAAGAAGGGACTTTCTGGGGAAGCAGACAAGAAGCTCTGACTTACCCTGTTCTGGGGATACTGCAGGCCTCTACTCCAAGAGGAGGGAGGCAGCATTTTATGAGGAGTTCTCCTTGATGGGGTGAAGCCTGCTGGGTGCGCCCTGTGGCTGTTTCCTCACGCACCCACCAAGAGCCATTCTCTCTGTCCCTCTTCCTCCTCAGTCCTGGGCCTCAGTCCACAGCAGCCTTCCAGCCCCCAGGCTGAGGAGCAGTGGGGAAACTCAGCATGTGCAGAATGACCAGCAGTGACCTCAGCCCCCAGGCAAGTGGGCTGCGAGGGTCCTCAGAGGGCACCTGACCCACCCTCCTGCAGACACACATTTCTGCCTCCACCAGCAGCAGCCCTAACAGATCTGAAGGCTGAAAAATCAGTCTACCTTGTTGGACGAGAGCTGTTTTCCCCCAGTGGGAGAGGAGAGACTGAAAGCAAGATCTAGAGCAAGAGAGAGCTACACACACACATACACAGACACACGCGCACGCACACATGCGCACGCGCGCACACACACACACGCACACACGCATAGAGGGAAATAAAGCAAGCAACAGATAGGACAAGAAGGGAGAAGGAGAAGAGCTGGAAGTAATAGGGCAGGAGACAGAAAAAAGAAGGAAAGAGAAAACCAAATCGCTACAAACAAGCCGAAGGTGGCAGCCTTCATATCCCCAAACAAAGGCTCTGCAGGACATTTTCCTCAGCTCAGGATGACTTGAGCCTCTGAGGAATCTGGCAGAACCGAATGAACATTACACCTAGATTTGCTCTTCCCTACCTGTGACTCAGGCCTGACCCATGGGTGCCCTCTTGGGCCACAGTGATTGGTTCTTGTGGGATGTGTGAATCCGGGCAGTCCCAAGACTCTATCCCAGGAGCTTTCTTGGAACTGTGATGAAAAGGAAGCTCTTTTCCACGGGGACTTTGGACAAAAGAACAATGAACGCCCGGAACTGCCAAAGACCACACCACACAGGGATAGCCTACCTGAGAATGAAGCCAACACAGAGGGAAGCAGAACAGAAGATGGAGACAAACTCCTGACAAGATCAACTAAGCTGGATCCAGCCATGCCTGAAGCTACACCCAACCTGGGATTTTTCAGGTATATGATCTGAGGTCTTTAATGCTTAGGTCGGTTTGAGTTGGAATATCTGTCATTAGCAAGTGCAAACCCACCTATCAGTCTTGGAACCAGCTCTTTCACCAGCTCCCAGAAACCACACACCAGCTCTCCTGACAAAAATGGTGGCCAACAGGCCCTAGGACTGTCCCAGAGGGAAACACAGAAGCCCATAAGAAAACCTCTACATAATGATTTTTTCAAAGTAAAATTATCACAGCGAGAAAGGAGGGCCATGCTTGGTTCTATACAGGATTGCGTTATGACTTTCATGGGTCCCTTCCTCCATTAAAAAAAAAGTTAAAGATTATATCCTACAACTGAATTGATATAAAATGAATACAATACAGGCTGGATCATATTCCTTTTCCCTCATTATTTTAAAAGAAACTAAAACATTTTCATGGGTCCTTAAAAGTATGCTGGGCCTGGGTACCATGCCCATTCTGTCTAATGGATTCATTGGTGTTGGGCCCATATTATCCAGATTGCTTGTCTACATGGTCCAGGTTCCCTAGAGATGAACCCAACTCTCGTCTCCTTGTCTAGAAGGGGTGGAAGCGTCCAATGAGTCCCTCAAAGCCCAGGCCCACCTTCCCTCTCTCCCACCAGCACTTCCCTGGGTCATCACTGCCTGGCTTCATCTTTGGGGCACCCACACACTGGGGACACAGCTGTAGTTGGGCATTATTTCTGTGGGTCACAGGGAGCCGATCCTAATGTGTCAGGTAACAAGACTGGGAGCTCCTCAACAGCCCATGTGTCTTTCATCAAAGCACTCCAAGTCCTAGCACAGGCTGGAGGCAGAACAGATCCCTTGTGGGGGCGGAACAGGGGACAAAGAGTACCTCCTACCTAGCACACTCTTGTTACTCAGGATTTGCACTTGGGCCAGGCAGGACACAGAAAGGGAGGAGACAGGTGGGTAGGAGTGTGGCGACTGGCAGTGCACATGTCTCTGAGATCTTTCTGGGTCCCCCCTCCATTCTGGAGGGCAACGTGCCGACTTGCAAAGCTGGAGGAGGTTGTGTGGGCCAGCCCAGAGGTTGGGCAGGCATGAGTCAGCATGAGAGGCTCCAGGTAAGCTCACTGGCCCCAGGTTCCCCCTCACTCACCTTCATCACTGGTGTGAGGCTCCGTGCCATTGTCGTGGTCAACTTCATCAATAGTCCCTGGTTCGCTGTGTGGACTGTCACTGCAAGGAAACACGAGAAGGCGACGCATTGGGCTCTGTACCCTCATGTTGTCCTCAGCTTCCCTTAGGTGCCAGCCCTGCCCACCTCTGCACTTGACTCAGGTCAGGCCCAGGCCTGCACCATCCTATCTTATCCAACTGACCACCCATGGGCCCTCCTAATCTCCCAGCCCCTTCAATGGGAAGCTATCCTGAATAACCTCCCCCAGCTTCTCCCAGCCCTGGAATTTGCCGGGCTGCCAATTTCTAGGTGTTCCATATGACCCAGAGATCAGTGTAAAACCCTGGTATTTATCCTTGGAAGGACCACAGGCCAAAACAGGAAGGAACTCTGGAAGTGCGGTGAGTCATTCATCTAACCTGGTTCCATGTCTTACAGAGGACGTGACACGCCCAGCAAGGTGGAGTGAAGCTTGCAAGGAGCAGGGTTCTCAGGGCTGCCTCAGGATGCTGTGTGCAAAAGCCTGGGCCAGTCCACGTGGCACCAGCAGGCTGGCAGCCATGATGGGCATGGGAGGAGGTAGAGTGACTCCAGGCCTGTCAGATTTGTTATCAATACACTCGATAATTTCACCAGCCACTAGCCCCTCTCTAAATGATAAGCTTCTTGAGGCCAGGGTTTATTCACACAGTCGGTGTTCTAACTGAGCCAGTGACGGAGTCCTGATATATGCCAGGCACTATGCTAGGTAGGAGGGACGCACTGATGGGTAAGTGGACACATACTCTGCCCTCATGGGGCCTGTGCAGCCTCCTCCCTCACCATTCCCTTGACATCTGCAACACTCTGGCCACACAGAACCACTTTCCAACCACTTGCAGGACCAAGTCCAGAACATTCTTTGCCCACTCTTCACCTGGCTGACTCTAGTCTATCCTACAGGCCTCCGTTAAGTCATTATTTCGTCCAGGAAGCCCTTCCTGGCCTCGCTACATTGGCTCAGGGAGCCCCTCTTCTGGAACTGCCTGTTTCCTCCCCCCCCAGAGCTCCCTGCATCAGGGATTAATCCTGTTCAGGTTACATCCCTGCCCTCCTGCCCAGGGCCTGGCCTGGGACAGACACTCAGCAACCATCTGTCCATTCATTGAATGAATGAATGTTGTCCACTACAGTGAGACCCTCAGCCAAATCCCCCTTTTTGGCTTTGAAAATTCCTCCAATATAATTAATAGTTTTCCTTTCTCATGGGACACAAGTGGGATTAAGAAAAGTGTGGTTATTGTATATTGTTCTTTGGTAAGTATAACAGATCTTGAGGACCTTCCCAGAACACTAATGATATATATTGCAGCAAGAAAAGAGAACCGATAATGGTTGCAAACACTGCATGAAAAGCTTCTCTTTGTCCAGAAAGTATGCTTGCTGGCTGTTTAATGTTTCTGTGACAAAACAGGAACAGATGTGCTCCTGGTGACTCAAATAAGGTTACAGAGCTGTGATTACAAGACAGCAGAGCCCGATATTTCTGTGGGGGACGGGGTGGGAAACAAAGGGGCTGGAATGTCTCCCTTTTTTGAAGCGATTTAAGAGCCCAGGAATGCTGTGATAATCAAAAGACAAACTCCCCTGTAGGCACCTAGCTGAAAGCAGTATGGGGAATACCTAAATATACAGCTGTGTGTTGTCCTGGATTGGGAATAAAGAATGAATAGGAACCCTTTGGCTGGTCTCTGTCAGCTGGTGTTCTGAATCCACATTTAAGAACATTTCCTATCTTTACCACATTTTAAGGTCTTCGTCTGGGAAATGTAGTCAGCCCTGATTTTGATTGGTTCTAACATTTCTCTCCCAAGACCCCATGTAGCACCAGGTACCCAGAGGTGCCCAACTACCAACTGCTGACCTGGCGTGGAGCTCTCAAAGAACGTGAACTCACTGTGTCTGGAAAAAACTCCTTTCTCAAGAGGTTGCGGTAGGGATTATTATCCACTCCCCTGCTGCCTGAGATGGGTTTGTGACTCACTTGGCCCATGACAGCTGGATACCTCCTAACCAATGTGATTTGTTCGCCAGACCCGAGCCTCTGCAAGGGGATATAATTCTTGGATTTGTGTTGGGACACTTGGGAAGAAGAAGCCCTTTTTCCACTGGGGCCGCTGAGAGAATGTGCTCTAAATCTGGAGTTACCAGATGCCTCCCTGAAGCCACCAACAGAGAGACTGCCTGAGAAAGAAGCCAACACAGAAGAAAGAAAAGCCAAGGGCTGGGGATTACAGGACCAAGTCCTGATGATAGTAGTTGAACTCCTGGATCCAGCTATACCTGGAGCCATGATGCTAGACTTTTTAGTTAAGTAAAGTAAACCAATTACTTCCCATTTAGCTTAACCAGTTTGATGTGTATTTCTGCCCCCTTATAAACCAAGAGAGTCTTGCTGATGCAACTATCTCTCATATAAGGCTGCGGCAAAGCTCAAATGAGGAAATGCATATGGGAGTACAGACTATGAAGCAGTAAGAAAATCGAAGGGTTTCTTACTGTTCCTGTTCAACAGCAACAACAAAGATAGTGATGATGATAGTAACAATATTAAGAAGAATGGAATCTTACCAATATTCTTCCCCTCCAGCCATGCATTTTTCATACACAGGTCCCTCTAGCTCCCGGGGGCTGGGGAAGATGGCTTCATGATGGATGATGATGGTTTTGATGACTTCATTGACGTGTGCCTGGCAGGACACAGGGTCCTGCCCATCAGGGATGTGCATGAGGGTGGGCCCGAAGCAGATGGCCAGGTTGTAGGGATCCATCATGTTCTCGTCGCTATACTGCGAGAGGCTACAAGAAAGGAGGTACTCACAAGTCACCCGGGAAAGATGAATCGTCCCCCCTGTGGGTTCTTTCTTTTGAGGGCTCTACTCAACTCCAGGAGGGTTCCATGTTCTATTTTAGGAACAGCTGCACCTGCAAAAGCCTCAGGACACCCCCTCCCAAAGGAGGCCAGAGCTGAGGCAAAGAGGGGACCACCCCCCACACTTGGCCGGGCAACTCACTGGTTGAGGAAAGCAAAGAGGTATCTCATGACCACGATGACCACTCGGGGAAGGGTGATGAGGATTTGCTGGATCTGGTGCACCCTCTCAGCTGGGTTCTCCAGTTCTGTAATACAAAGGGGCTTTTCAGGGTGTCTTTCATCCTCAGAGAGCCAGACAGCCAACATCTGCTCCTAGATCAGGCCACATGGTTCTGAGGGAGCCAGTTCTCTCAGTTCTGGGGATTGATCTGTGACTCTCGTCTGGCCACTTACAGCAAGTATGTGAGTCAATTCATTCCCTTTAATGGATGAAGCCCGTATAGATCGAGTTTCTGTCACCTGATACCTACGAGCCCTGACAAACACAGGCCTGGGCCATGTTCCGTTCACCTCTTTAAACACCAGCTGCACCACAGGCACGGCACGTAGTAGGCTAGAAGTGAGCGCTGAATACACAACCAACTCTAGAGCTCTGTATTGGCCAATGAGCTTGGCAGATGCCTGGGATCCTGTCTCTGAGCCCCGTTTTCAGGCCTGTCCTAGACAGAGAGACACTGGTATTTTTGTCAGTTGGGCCAGGGGCGGGAGCAGCCAGTTGGGCTTGGTAAGGAGACAGGCTTTGTGGGCTCTGCCTTGTGGAGAGGGGAAGTTGGCGTGAAGACTGACCTGCCAGGGTTCTGATGTGTGTCTGCAGGGCTTATGCCCAAGCCTATTCCAGTTTCTTTCTCAGAAAATGTTTTTCTCACAGAGCCCCTCTCTCCAGCCTCCACATTCTGTCAGCATGTTCCTTCTAAAACACCATTTCTTGTTTCTCCTCCATATCCCAGGCCTTTCACAGCAGGGCTTCCGCCAACCTAGCCTGCCTCACCTCCTGGTGGCTGCCCCTTCCCCAAGTATCTTAAGATGATATGGAGTCATGTTTCTCAGATGAGGTGGTAGTGCACCTCTGGGCATTTACAGATCCACAGGGCATTCTTTGGGGTTGTCACAGTGACTAGAGAGTACCATTGGCATTTGGGATCCAGGGGTCAAGGTGCCAAGTGTCCTGAATGTATGGGACACACAATAAGGCACTGCTCTACCCTAAATGCCAATAGCACCCCCACTGAGAAACTCTGTGCCAGGTGGCCTTAGCCACGATCTCCCTCTCACAGAGGGCCTTCCTGCCCCTGGGCCTTTGCACACACTGGTGATCTCTCTACTCTGCCCAGCACACTCTAGCTTACCTTCAAAGTCTGGCACTGAGGCATCTCACCCAAGTCTCCCCACAGAGCTAAAGGTTCTTGGACATTTACTGAATCCATTGCCCTTTATACAGGCTGCTCCCTGTCCTCAGGTTCAGTCCTCAGTGCCCCAGTACCCCTCCACTTCAATACATCGTTTTCTTAAATGCATTTATTTAAAGAGGAAATTTTACCTCACTCTGTAAATGAGAAACCAGGACCACTTGCTATAATTAGGAGGTAACATAAAAATAGATATAATGAAAGCAAAATAATGTCACTAAATTCTAGGTAGGCACTGTTCTATACAAAAGTTTCTGAGACTGAGGCCCCATGTCTATGTTTAGAAGGGAGACTGACCGACCTCTGAAATTTTCTCCTTGATACAATCACAGGGTTTGGGAGGGAACTGAGAAGGGATCTTTTTTTTTTTTCCCCCACAGTGTGATTCAAGGTGTGATCCAAGGTATGCAATGTTATGAGCTTGTACCAGCGGTCAACAGCCTTGGCCACTCAGGGCTCTGCTCAGGAACTAGACTGATGGGGCTGAACATGTGACTCTAGCTGAACATGCGACACGGGGCTGAACACATAACATGAGGCTCAGATAGGGTGGGGCCTTTGTGGCCTGGAATTTCTGAGGGTGATGTGGAGCCTGAAGTGGATCTGGAAAGATGAGCAGGAAGTAGTGTGGAGGGGAGCAGAGCAGAGGAAGGTCTTTTGTACAAGGCAGGCAAGAGGCTTGAAGCCTCCCACCTGCTGGAGCACTTTCCTGGCTGCAAATCCCTCTCAGAGCATTGTGAGAAGCATCCCTAGTACTACTGGGCGTGGGGCAATTTTCTGTAAATCAGAGTTTATTCTAAAACACTAAGATTCTCATACTGTAATATTAATAGTTTATGTTTAAAAATTCCCAAAATGTTGCCTTGGACCTGGGCATCTTACAGTCAAGGTGCTTTTACTTCAGCCCCCTAGACTGGGCTTCTGCCTTCATCCACAGAAATACCTGCCAAGGAGAACTCTGATGGCTCGTGACATCAGAAGAAGCCCACAGTCCACTTATTTTCACCATTTTACTTGTCTGTTATGTTGCTGACCTGACTCCCAAACCCTCTACGGCTCCCTATTACCCAAGGGGAAAAGCTCCAAAATCCTTGCAAGGTCTTTCCCCTCTTGCTCTATTTTACCCTTCTAGCCTCTTGCACCATTCACTGCCTGGAATACCCTCCTACTGGTCCCATTAGCCTGTGTGTCCCCAAACTCTTCCCAGGCTACTCCGTGCCCACTCCTCCTGGAAGGCTCAGCTCACATCTCTCTCTCTCAGCTGTGATCTGCAAAACCAAGTTTCCCTCTGCCTCTTCTGAGCTCCTTCCATACCCAGGGTTGTACCATGCCATTTTCCATTATAAACTGTCTTGTTATCTCTACAACTAGGTTTTAAGTTCTATGAGAACGAGGGCCATACTGCTCCTTTCATTCTATCCCTCCCATGTGCCTAGCCCAGAGATGAGCCCATAGTACAACTTTAATAAAGGTATGTCACACAATCGATCACTCTACCGGTCCACCTAGGAAATACTTACTAATAGTAGATATCAAATCTTGAAACCTTTCCTTAGGAAAGAGTGGGTTTTCCAGGCCTCGGAAATACAGTTTTAAAACACCAGCAACGGAATTGATATCTCGTTCATTTTGATCATCCACAAGGGGGTCTTCGCCTGAGAGGAAACAGAAGATAATAATTCAGCTTGGTAAGGAGGCAGGAAATGTGCAGATGGCAGGAGGGATGGCCTGAGCTAGAGGAGAAGCAGATGGGACAACCTCCTTGACAGAGCAAGTTTAGAGTTCTCCCTGTAACTGATTTTGAAAATGTTCAAATCTACAGAAATATTGTAAAAATAAAATACTGAAATCACCCTTCACTCACCGTCATTAACTTACACTCCTCTTGCCATATTTGCTTTCTCTCTTTACTCACATTTATTGCTCAATGATTTGAGAGTATTTTGTAGCTGTCACAAAATATAACTGCTAAATACCTCAACACGTTTCTCCTAAGAATAAGGATATTCTCCTACATAACCACATAACATCATTACACCTAAGAAAATTAACAACAGTTCCAAAACACCATCTCATATACAGCCCACATCCAAACATTCCCAATTGTCCTTTCATAGAATTTTTTCAAAGGCTAAGATCTAATCAACACAATTCATTTGGTTGTTATGTTTCCTTAGTCTTTTGAATGTAAAAGAGGCCCCAACATTTTTTAATCTTTAAGTTTTTTATAATATTGCCTCTTCTGAGGAGTCCAGGCCACTTGCCTTATGGAATGCCTCCCACTCTGGATTTGTCTTTGTTTCCTCATGATTAGATTTAAGTTAAACATTTTTGGCAAGAATAGTACATGGGTGATGTTGTGGACACCTCACTGGATCCAGAGGCACAAAACGTCAGCCTGTCTTGCTCCTGGTGATGCGAAGTTTGATCCATGGGTTAAGGGGGTGACCTCCAGATCTCTGCATTGTAAAGGTCTATTTTCCCCTTTGTAATAGTAAGTGCAAAATATAAAATATTTTTGAAAAATACAAGTGATCTATATGCAAGTCATTGTGCTCAACATGTTTCACCCAATGCTTTTAACCTCCAATGATGATTTTAGCCTAAATCAATTATTATCCTGGGGTTGCAAAATGATGATTTTCTAATTCTGTCATTCCTTCTACATTTATTAGCTAGCATTCTTCCATAAAGAAGAGGTTTTCCCCATGCCCCCTTACTTCTCCTATTATTATTATCACTGTTATTATTTAACATCTTTGTGGGATTGTTTTTGTAATTTTTAATTTAATGTGTCATCACGATTCTTTGGGATGCTCAGATTCTCCCCAATTTTGCCAGGGACAAATGTCCTTTATAGGTGACCTTCACTGAGCATATCCTTGCTCTCTGCAACAGAAGATGTTCATGGATCACCTTATACTTTCCTTGACCCAGATCTGGAATCAAAACATTTCTCTAAGACGCTCTGTTTGCTTTTTATAGGGGATGGCATTTAGAGACCAAGATCTAAGTTCCAGGTGTGCTCATTGGTAGAGGAGTGCTATAAAGAGCTTCTAAACCTTTTCAGTGGATAGAGGGAGAATAAATATATTTTTTTCAAGAGTTCACACAGTTATTTCTAATTCATATTTAAGATTCAACATTTTCTTTACCTTCATTTATTTTATATTTGTATTTCATTTTTCTTAGTGAAAAATCTTGGTTCTGAGTCACATTAATAATGTATTTCTGTATCTGCCTTATCCTACAATATACACAACATAGTTTTGACATTTTAATAGCAGTATCACCACTAACAATAAACCTACTACATAAAATTTAAGATTTCTTTGCAGGGCTTTTGTTTTCATTTGGGGGGGGAAGGGGTTAGTCTTAAGAATGTATTCTACTAAAGATGTGTGGTCAGAAGACAGAAAGTACATTAGTTGTTGCCGAGCGTGGGGGGCTGGGGTAGAGGGAGTCTAGGGAGTAACGACAAATGGGTACAAGGTTTCTTTTGGGGATGATGGAAAATTTCTGAAATCGGATTATGGTAATGATTGCACAACTCTATAAATATACCAGGAACCACTGAATTGTACAATTTAAAAATGGGTGAGCTTTATGGTATCTAACTCAATAAAGCTGCTAAAAATGTATGACCAGAGCACATGTTCAAAAGTAACTCTCTGTGTGATGATCAATTTGATACACAGCTTGTTTCTATTTCTATTCAATTTTAGGGACTGATTTTTTTTTTAGAAATCCTTTCTTAAAAAATTTGCAGTTTTAAAAATATAAAGCATTTACATCGTCCAAAAGTCAAAACCAGATAAAAAGTTACATGCAGACAAGCCCTACTCTTCCTTCTCCCTTCCCTACCTTACATTTAACCATTTTCATCAACTTCTGGTTTGCCCTGTTATGTTTTCTTCTCCCAAAACAAGCAAATACATATATGAGAATTTTTTATTTCCCTTCATTTTCTACACAAAATGAAAGTAGTATACAACATTGCGACATACACCTGTTTCTTTGCTTCACAATAAATACTAGAAATCCCTCCATATCAGTTCACAGAGATTTTTCTCATTTTTCTTCTTCTTTTTTTTTAAGTGGCTGCAAAGTACTCTATTTCATGGATCGACCATGATTTAGTCAACCAATCTCCTACGGATTGACATGTGACTTCTTTCCAATCTTTAGCTCTTACAAATATTGCCACAACAAATAATCTCTTGTCATACTGCTCCTTTCATACTATCCCTCCCATGTGCCTAGCACAGAGATGAGCCCATAGTACAACTTTAATAAAGGTATGTCACACAATCGATCACTCTACCGGTCCACCTAGGAAATACTTACTAATAGTAGATATCAAATCTTGAAACCTTTCCTTAGGAAAGAGTGGGTTTTCCAGGCCTCGGAAATACAGTTTTAAAACACCAGCAACGGAATTGATATCTCGTTCATTTTGATCATCCACAAGGGGGTCTTCGCCTGAGAGGAAACAGAAGATAATAATTCAGCTTGGTAAGGAGGCAGGAAATGTGCAGATGGCAGGAGGGATGGCCTGAGCTAGAGGAGAAGCAGATGGGACAACCTCCTTGACAGAGCAAGTTTAGAGTTCTCCCTGTAACTGATTTTGAAAATGTTCAAATCTACAGAAATATTGTAAAAATAAAATACTGAAATCACCCTTCACTCACGGTCAT